CGCCGGGAGCCCCAGCCGGTGCCCCCTGCTAACGGCAGCGTGAGCGCCGGCCTGCTGGCAGAGGATGCCAACACAGCCTCAAGTAGCCTGAAGTGGTCCCGGCCCTGCTGTGCCAGCCTGCAAGAGTTAGAGTAACTGGATTGGAGTCCAAGCCAAGGACGTAATGCTTTCAGGACTGGTTAACTTTTTGAAGTTTCATCTCACCGAAACGTATAATGTTAAGACAAAGCTTTCATTCTGCTTCTCTATAGTGGGTTTCCACTACAAAATAACTCTTCAGCCAAGAAGAATATGACCAAAGGACTCTGGGACTCCCTTTTAACTGACTGGAAGAAGGGATGCGAGATGAGAAAGCATACCCTCCCGCTCACACTACTGAGCTTAACCATCCCCCAGACAGGGATCCCCATGAGACTCCGCAGTACTAAACCAGACACTGCCGTAATCCTGTGCTGGGCTGGACAACAGGAAAAACACTGTGTTGTCCGTGTCTGGCTAGGTGCTATTTTCAGCTAGTTAATGGAACTGTGTATCTATCAGAACAGATATCAGAAGTTCACGGAAGTTCACGTTAGAAAGGAATAAAGAAAAAGACTGCAGAACAAATATTTTGAAAAAGAATTTTCCAAATTTGCCACTGATTTTGCAGTTCAGGTTTCTGGTGTTTTTCCTTAAAACTTGAGCAGCTGCTTTCACAACTTAGTTGTTCGTGGCTGGTTTCCTGTTGTAAGCCAATGCACGTCAAATATGACAGCACTAAAATCAACAAAGTGAGTGGTACGTGGCTCCAGTTCAGAGAAGCACTCCCTACTCTGGACAAAAGATACACATATCAGCTATTTTGATGTCTTTAAGCACTTTCCTTTATCAAGTCCTAAATTAAGTGGATAAGAAAGCAGAATTGGGCCACTTCTGTTTTATAATTACAGTGGAACATATTCATGATTTCATTACAGACAGAATTTTGTTTGATCTTATCTCAATATTTCAGGCTTTACTCCCTAGTAAAACTTGTAATGAAAGTGGCTCTAAAAAAAACCCAGTTATTTCAAGCAGAAAAGAATTATGAAAGCAATTTAAGATAAAAGAGAGCAGGGAACATCTTCCTAAAAGCGGCATAAAATCAATTGTGGGGGAAATAGGCAAGGTGGAGAAGTCATACGAGTTAAAACAAAACAGAAAAACCCAATCACCACACATGCTTAAATATAATTAGCCCAGGACTATAACAAAAAAGCATCACCCCCATTTTCAGATAGCTTCATGAAAGCACAAAAAGATTTTCATTGTCCACATCACAATTTGCCCAAGGCAGACCTTCAGACCTTGCTCACTTGGTATCAAATTCTTAAGAAAGAAAAAGCATGAAAGCATGTAACATCTCAAAGATATAACCCACGACTCCTCAAGGGCTCAGTCCTAATCTGGCATACACAGAAGCTTGAATAAACGATACGCATACTTACGTTCGTGTATGCAAGGGTACCTGCAGATCTCATGGTGGAAGCCTGCCTCAAACATGTAGCCTCAGTTGAAGAAGCTGTATTTCCTCCCTTTATAAGCTGACATACCTGCAGGTAACTATCTGCTCTGGAATTTATTTCATTGTGCCCTCAGCTAAAGGTGTTCAACTTAGCCCTTGGATACTCCCTAATGGCACTGAGATTCAGTTCTTTATAGTCCTGTCAACCTGCTGAGGGTGCAGAAAACTCTACACAAGCAGCTGACGTCTCACAGCTAAGGAAGGCTTCAGCCTCTGCAGTCACACCAGCCACCAGTGGCAGGGCAGGTATGACGAAAAGGTTGGTACAGCACAAGAACGAGCATTGACAACCACTGCGAAGAAGCCACAGCCAGACTGCACCCCTTCACAAGCAGCTGCCCCCATTAAAGACAGAACGTTACTGGCTTTGAGATCAAACACAAGGAGGTGTAAATCAATCCACTTTTTGTCCTAACAGTTACTGGTAGACACAGAGTAATTTGGGCTATGTTATGAACCCAAGAATTTATTGTCTGAGAACACAGCACTGGCAGCTATTACATGCAAGAAGCAGACTGAATTGGTTGTACTGCACAATCACAAAGGGCTTGATGTGTTTTCCTAGAGTATGAGCTGTGCAGGGGTTTGGGGCCAATGGTTAGGATTCTAATAGTATTAACTGGCTGGGAATTAGCTATGACAAAGTGCCACGTATATGAGAAATATACAGTGGATGTGCTGGAGGCTGGCTCCTGAGAAATGCTTGCAGTGCAGTTTTACCTGATCACGCACATCGATGTGTCTCTTTGATACATCTTTATAAGCATAAAGCTAAGAAATAAAACAAGGATTGTTATAAAAGTGTGGTTTTTTTTTTTTTCTTTTGGGGCACATTGAAAACACCTCTTCCTCTCTACCCGTGGTGTCAACTGACATTCTTTCAAAGGAATTCTCTCTGACAAAAACATAGAATTCTTATAAAAACGAACTCTGATATATTAGTAGAAGTAGTAGTAGTAACAACAATCATAGAAATGACACCAATAGAATATTTGGGGCAGGAGAGCTCCTTGAGGCTGAAGGAATTGGCTTAGTGCTGTAGTTGTCTCCTGGTAAAAAAAAACCACAGCCAGCCAAAGAAACAAAACCCCAACAGCTTTCTGCAAAGTATTTTGGCTCAGATGACTGGTGAGAAGTCAGGAGTCTAAAGAGAATTTAGGAACCCAAATATCCTGTTCAATTTGGCCATCAGCACACAGGAGTTCACTAGGTCACAGCCTCCTGCTCAACCAGAAACAATCTCTACTTTTGCCTTTAGCGTAGAAGGAAGCTCAGGCAAATCCAACCCAGTCATAGCTGCCCTCAGAGGCAGAAGGAATTCCTAGAGCGCTCTCTTGCTTCCTCTAAGCACAGTAACAGTTTGTGTGGGGAGTCGTAAGTGACTCCGTGACACTAAACTGAAGATGAACATTCGGTACGTATAATCCTGAGACACGCATACAGTACGCTGCTTTATCACACAAGAAATACGGAATACGTACTCAGTTTCTCTAGGATCTCCTCATCTGTCATCTTGGATTTTTTTCGCTGCCGGTCTGTGTTTCTGTACAAAGTGTTTGTGTTTGAGTTTTCAGGCTGGGGAGTGGTGGCTTCTTTAGCTGGTGCTGGTGCAGCTGCAGGTTCAATTACAGAGCGTGTGTAGATCTGTGACAAGAAATTATTTTGTGTCAGAAAGGTGGCTTGCAGAGATGCCCTTGAGATCATATTTCAAATGCAAACCCTTAGGAAGATGCTGTCTGCCACATCCAGGGCTCTTAAAATGTTTGTTTTTGCTGTCCACTTCTCAAACTAAACAGGCAAAAATGAAAGGCTAGTTTTACACAAGTGCATGGCCAGTTTCATTTTCAATCTTCACTGATTTTCTCAAAGATGACTGAAATAATGAATTTACTGTGTTGCAAGGATACAGAAAAAGATCTGTCCAGGGCCCCGGAGCCTTGTTCCTTGATACTCACGTGTTTTCACGGGTAACAAAATGACTCTTTAGTTGGTACATAAGTGTCCGAATAGAAGCAGGGAGCATTTCCCTTTTCTGATCGTTAACTGTTGAACTGACTTCTCATCAGTATTTCAAGCTTTAGGGAGTGGCCATTAGGAACTGCGTTCCAGTCCTTCAGAGACTTACCTTCTCTTTACAATGCATAGCTGTGTAGGATTCTTCTCACCCAACTTCAGTCATGTAAAAGTTAAGGGTTTAGTCTAAGCTGTTCATTTAGCTACTCCTATAGTCTGTGGAGAGGGACAGGGACCTTCAGGGGACAGTTTCTCCTATTTATCCTGCAAGGGTGTGAACTGCATCTGATGACCGCTCTCCTCCACTGATGACAGAGAGCCTACACAGGTACTTTGGACAAAGTTGCTCACTTTTACACTGGTAGCATTAAAAGACACAATGCTACCTCTTATCTGATACTAAGATAAATTGACGGACCCTATCAGAATCACAGGAAACTCATGACTAAATGTGAAAGTTCAAAACAGATATTCCTGGTGTCAGGGGCTTGGGTGAAGCACTATGTCATGGTAGGACTCCAGCCCTCAGAGTCTTCACCTGCAAGTGCTGCATGATCAGAAACAAGCAGCTCTGAATTACACCAAAGCTGGGACTTACTGATTTTGTATGTTCAGGCCGTGGTGCGATAACAGGCGGAGGTTCATTGTCATCTTCCTCTTCTTCGTCATCTTCATCCTCTTCTTCAGAAACAGAGGGAGCTAGCGGGGGTTCTGATGCTGTTTTTGTGCTCTGTGGACAGACAGTAACATGAGTGACAGTCACCATTCTGGCACTTGGGAGGTTTGATAATTACACACAATTTTAGTCTGCTTAGACATCAGAAACCAATCTAGACATGCCTATAGTCCTACAGGCCTCAGTTCTAAGTTACAGACGGCACAATACAATTTAAAGGTTACAAATTATCGTACCGCTTTGTTAATTCGTCTTGGTGTTTTTCATTTTTGCTCATCAATTTTGCTAATCAAAACAACTAAATCATTCCCATGCTTAGTCAAAGTCTAATTTCACAAAATTTAATGCTTGAATATATCACTAGAAATCACGTCTAGTTGCTGGTTAATTGCTTTGGCATTGTGTCTACAGAACCGGTAACAATTAAAGCTAACAGGTGTCTACTGGCTAGGTTAATTAACACACTTAGAAGTCCAAAGCCTCCTTTGTCATCTTGCTGGGAATTTGGTTTTGGAGAGAAAGGCTATTTGTTTCTTTACTATTTTACCTGTGGGATAATCATATTGCCTGTTTCCACAGTGCTGAATTTCCCTGTTTAGTAGCTCCTTTTTCAGCACCATCTTCCTTTTTACCTAATCTTAAGTTAACACATTGATCTTTCCACTGCTTGCCTGTTTCTTACCGCAACAGTAACCCAGAGTGAATGCAGCCCCCTCAGCAGCAAGGTGCATCCTGCCGACCCGCCTGGGGCTGCCAGGCAGGCATCCCGACTGCTCACCCAGGCTCCCGTTACAGGCAGCGGAGAATAAAAGCCACTGCCAGGGTGCAGTCGACCTTCAGGCAGACTCCAAATACGGGGCAGGCAAGGGAAGTCTGGCTGATCAGTCGTCTACATGTAAACTGAAGCCTACAGTGCAGATATTTAGTGTTAGGTGAGTTGAAACCCCTCCACCAGTCGTAGCTGCTACTCTGAGGCAGGGGGTGTATCACGTTGCCACAAATTTGCTGGTGAAACAAAAAACTGAAAAGGTGCCTTGTCAAGTGTTTACCAACTGCTTTAAAGCTGGCTACAACAGGCCACTTAGAGAACTGAAGCAAACCAAAGGTACTATTCTACATATTCACATCTCATTTGCATTATCTTTAAAATAGCATCAATTTGGTCCAGTATAAACACCAGCCCGCAGGAAACAGGGAGATCTAATCTTCACGCCTGTGTGTTACTGAATAGATGACTGTATCGCTGCCTTAAGTCACCTGTACTTGAACATACTATCATCTAGATACACACACACACACACAGAGTATTATATTTTCTGTGAGACTCAGTTCTGTTACCCAAATTTTAAAGGTAAACTGTGAAACAGGCTACTAATCTGGCCCAAGTAGGGAATGACATGTCAGACGTTCTAAACACCAGTTTAAGGGCCAACTCAAGGGGTGCCCTAATGGGAAGGTGAATGTTACTTTGTCATATATTAGATCAGTGTATAGCTTTCTATGCATCGTTAGCACTTTGCTTACATGGGGATAGAAGATGATTAAGGCAAAAATAAAGAAGGGAATAATCACATTTCTGTTATGTCAAATTCTTGTAACTATTTTTTCCACTGGGCTCCATGCTTGGTCTGACAGCACTAAATTCTGCAGCTAGAACATATACAATGTCATATTATTTAATGCCAGCCTCCCATTAAGGAGTGAAATGAAATTAAAGTAATTCCAATGACTGCTCGATCCTGTCAGAGAGTTGTTTTCCCTGCACTATAACATTCAACCAGCATCCTCTGAGTCGGTAACTTTTGAAAGCTGAAATCTTGACTGTCTCACCACTGTCTATGTCTGCTAGAACAAAATACCACAGCATCTGCCAATGTGTCCATACCCACTGGAAAAGCTATTGGGAAGGGTCACTATGGTCTGGTGAACCCCAAACTTCCTTCTAAAAGTGTGTTTTATTAAAGATAATGAAAGCGGTATCAATTGAAAATCTGAAGTGTGAATATTCAAAGATTATTTTCATTTCATTATACACACTCCGCTGTGTAATCACAAACCTAAAATTAAGTTGCTTAACACTTGAAAATAAAGGCCAAATCCCCATTCAGTCATTTGCTATTTAATGCACTAACATTAACACTAATAAATCTGGTCAATATTAATGTGGATGTCATGACTACATCTCTGGGATTGCTACGGCAATCCAGTATTAATTAGAGTAGATGATTATTTAAAACTTTCTTTCAATGGTTCCAGTGAGTTACGTATCAATTATAACCTTATTTATATTCAGCTACATATCCAGCTGTACTAAGGATAAATCATAAAATTTAATAGAAATGAATTCTAAGTTGTTAAAACTAAATTAAAATGGGCTAATTAGACAGTACTGCATATTGTTGCGAATTATATATTCCACCATGGTTAAGAACAGCAAGCAATCTTCCGTCTGCAAAACCAGACTTTCATCTGTTTAAAAGTTCTTAAACAGAAAATTAGAAAACAGCCAGTGATCCCTTTTCTGCTGCTGCAAAGACACTAAAATGTACCTTCTTTCAGCCTACAAGGCTGGCACTCTATCGCAAAAGGCAAAGCTCACAGCTTGCTCCACAATTCTTAAACGCTATGAAAGTAAAAGGTTACTTTCACACTCACCGAAGGATGGGCTTCTATGTATCCATGGGCGCTTTTATCTGCAACGTGCAAGGGAAAATTAACCAGATGCTGTTATAAAACTGCCTGTTGTGGGGAATCCCACAGAACAAGTAAATCCAAATAGATAGCATTTTTCTTTCAGAACATCCCTCCAGCAGCAACAGTTATTTTACACAGCAAGCAAGATAAGAGGACAATATACTAGGTTATTCTTTTTCTACAGTTTCTTGAGTCCATTTTTTGCCCTGTTTTGCCAGTAAATAAAATAAATAGAAACTTGGTCAAGAAAATGCAAATTGTTCTTTAATAGTCAATGCTTCTGTTCCGCCCAAGAGCTAAAGCAGCTTTTTTTTAAAAAAAAAAAAAAGATAAATTGCATGCATTGATTCTCTTTAGCTTGCTGAAGATGTTTCCCCATTAAAGCTTCCCCAAAATCCCCCTTAGCCATGGCAGTTCTATTCTGACATAGCACAGTAACAGCTCCTGTGTTCAGGAGCATACACTAACTGTTTTGAATTTTGCATTTCATCACAAAAGTAATTGCTATTTTAGCAAACATTAAGTGTCAAGTTAGACAGTCAAATCTTTTAATTATGGAATTTAGAAAAAAAGCTCCTTTCCCTCAAAAGAAGAGAAATGTTAGTAAATTCTGGAGATAATTGCACAGTTTTTAGAAGTACTTCTGAGAAGCTCTCCCAGTTCGCATTTTGCAAGTTGTATTGGTTGAACCAGCAAATTGAGGAA